GGAAAAAGTAAATAAGTAGAAAACTGGTGTTTGTTCTCACTCAGTGAAACACCATCAGCACGTCAGTCCACAGATAAAACCGTATTAAGCAAGACAATGAACTGCGAGGATAAACATGACGATAGAATGTCTGTAATCAACAGTCCTTGATATCCGTAGCGGTTAAAGACCCCTCCGGCAGCTTCTTTGAGCATTGAGCCAATAATAAGTTCGTACATTTTTTTAAAAATTGTATGGATCTTTACAATTGTTTTTAAAAATCTTCTACCTCCTCGCCAAATTTTTCGACTTTTCTTCATAAGCAATTCGATAACACTACAGTATTTTTTTCTTCTCACTCTTATACACCGGCTCTTTTTAATGGGCAAACTTGTCCATTTAAGCTTTGAAGGGCCGACTGCAACGGCTCATTTCATACACCCAAATGGTGCAACTTTTTTTCCACGGAACGGGGCAGGAACTGGAGATTCTTCTGTTGTAATGCTTGGGCAAAACTTGTTCACGTGCCCATGCCACTAGGCCTAAAAATTCGGATTCGGTCTCCATTCAAATCCTCCTCATTCTTTGTCCCAAATTCAATCTTATGTCACTATACCACCCCCGTTGTTGTTTGCTGACCGGGCCATTAACATCATATCCAACTTCCCCATAAAATAATCGGACAGTTCGCGTTGTTGTGCTTGAAAAAACAACGCCCAAATTTCGCGGCACGGAACATGTATAATTTCCCCCGCAGGCCATTTTGCCCCCCACTCCAGCGATTTAACACAAGCAGAGTCCTCATCGCCGTATTTGCACTCGACACAGTATCGAGCCCGGATTTATCCATTCGTGAAATTAATAGAATCACTTTCTGCCCGGTCTCTTGATGATTAGCGGTTAGCTTGTGGCGAGGCCGCGTCCCGGGTCCCGGGACGTATAGGGGGACGAGACTCCACAAGCGAGCAAAGCAAGGAAAAGACACCGAGCACTCGGCTCTTTGGTCCCATTCCAAATAGCGTGCGGGACTCGGTCGGTCCAGAGCCGCCCGGGCCGCCATCAATCACACAGCAAAGATGTCAAGCGGTCCTGGTACACGGACCAAAACCATCGGAGTTCGTGTTACGGGAACCCCTCGCACGAACAGATTGCAACCCGGTCCGCGAGCGACGAAGCTCCCTAGGCTCCGGTGCCTGATAAAACACGTATAGCTTTGCATCAAAAGCGTTCCTTAGGGAGCACCTACATTAATCAGGCAGAAATTAAAATGTCAACTCGGGCCCTTTTTCTTCCCGTCGATAGATGATAAAGTGAGAAGGGACAGAAATCACATAAGTTGATTTCCCGCTCCTTATTCGGTTGATCAAGCCTGCAGGGCGCAACTGGCACGCACCGCCAGAACAAAGTAAAGAAAATCTGGCGGGACGATGCGCTACAATTGGCGCGAATTCAGGCGAAATGTGTTAACCATTTCCCTCCCTTTCAGTCAAAGGCTGTGATTTCAAACACATCGCCATATACTCAATTAGTCGACACATTTAATACACCTACACTTCTATCTTCATAGCACAACGCCGGAAATTAAATACTGTGTATGGTAAGCTACTCGTCAAAGTTGTTCAAATAAAAAACATTAAAAACATTAATTCTTCTTGTTTTTTTTTACAATGTCGAATAAACCCTTTTCTAATTGGCTGGACACGTGACGCTTGCTCATCTTTAAATTTGTTGTTGTTTATCCTCAAGATGCGTAACAACAGAAAATCCAGCGCGGAGATTGTGCAACATAATTATAATGGATCGAACGTCCCAGCCATAATGGCACAAGATGTCCAACTTCAATTACAATGTTGTCAAACTAAACGCTAACACCGCTGAAATACAACTGTCACATGTTTGAATACTTTACAAGATCATTCATAATACACTGCATCACACACTTGTGACGCGTCAAGTGCTACGTCTTAAGATATCACTTCTGGTAACTTAAAATCATGCAATTCATAATAGACCCGTGCCACCCCGTAACGCGTAATATTACGACGTCACAGACTGTCGCTTTATGTCATAACATAAATGGAGTCAAATTCATGTCATAATGATCGGTATTAAGTCTACATACGACTACAACAAATCACACTCGTGACGTACGTAACACACTGCAACGGTTATTGTCAAAATCTCTTCAACAAATTTAACAATCACAACCATGTCACAAAATAAAGCACGCGTCATGCACCGTATAACGTGTCAAACGATGACGTTTACACGATGACCAATATTATACCAATGTAAAATAATTTCTTATTCCAGCTGAGACCAGTCAATTGTTTCTTCAGGTCACTGACATCACCCCTTGTCCATCACTTGGTTTGTATCTTTGCAGTTTTCCCTTTACCTATTTTTTTCTCGCTAAGCGGCTCTCGACCGCGTACGCCTTTTAACGGACAGCGCGCGAGTGGTGCATCGGTCAAGCGGCACGAGTGACCGGGTGTCGTGTGTGCCCAAGCGCCTGCCGCACGCGTGCTGGATGAATGGTATTGTGTCACTTATTATTCACGAAAAGTCTCTGGCTTTAAAGTGGGCTTCTAGGAGATGTATTTGCATAAATTTGGCTGCCAATTAAACATTTTCGTGTGCCCAAAGTTTGTTGTGGAGATCGCCCCAAAAAGTAACATGGTTAAACAATGTTTTAATTGAACAGGAAGAAAACCGGAAAATTCTACGACGGTGGTGGAAATCTTTTACTTTTAAATTTTTCCATTGGTTTAAACCCTTCGACAAATACCCTGCGTTTTGTTAATAATGGTCTTTGCTTTGAAATTGAAACAGAGGGCTTTGATTGTGGAGATGGGGAAAATTATTTGAAGTCGTGTTTCAATGTCCCTTCTCCCACATCAGACTGATTTCTGCAGCTGGTGTTAGTAAAAAATTTTTTTAATGGATTATTGATTATGTATATTGCAACAGGCAATTTCTGATACAAAAAGACGAGACAGTTTGAGAGAATCTTGCAAGTTCAATAGCTATATAGTCTTCCCTAAATTGAATTTCTATAACAGTCTGTTTCAATCGAGTCCGTTGGATATGAAGTCCGTTTGATATTAAACAGTTGCTGATAACAAAATGAAAGCGCTATTCTAGCCTCAACCTGTTGTCGATTTTTAAAACGATTGCAATATTTTACCATAAAGAGCACTCACGTTATCTAAGCAAAATCATAAAGCTTGATTAATGATCTGTAATTACCCCACTCGTCGATTACCAAAAAACGAAAGTAATTTTCGTAATTTTCCATCAAGAGAAGACGAGTATAGAATAGAGAAAGGAAAAGTTCACACCTCGACTTAAACAGATAAACAGAGTAGTTTGGGGAAAAAATAACGAGGGTCCTTTGGTAATTATCATGGAGGTATAGGCAAATGTTTTCGTTAATGCGTTCTTTATCATCATCACAGATCTGTGCCCTCAGACCGGAATCGAAACTCAACAATCGGCGGGTATTAACATACCTTACCTTGGTTAACACGATCTGAAATGCATATATTCATATCCACAGTCCCAAAATACAGATTGACTGGAAAATAAAAAAGCGTCAACATGACTAGAATCAAGTTCAATTTTAAAGTTGATCAGTGTGGATGATTTGTCCGAAAAATCTGCTCCAACACGTACTAACTTTCGTACATTCAGTTTGGTATCCACTAATCTAACAGTATAATTGGTTTCAAATAGGTTTATGTAGGAACCAAGTGGCGTTCACACCACATTTTTGCTGTAGCCTACACTTGATCTTGCGCTCTAACTCGTACCCGTGTGCAGCTTTGCATGCACGTATTTCGGAGCATACTGCAAAAGTTTGGACTGTTTTCTATCCTCCGAACTTTCTCAACTAGTTCCCAAACCTTAAAACCCATCAGTTTAAAAAAATACGTTGCCTTAATAAACCGCCAAGGGCAGCAAGCGAAACCAGCGATGGAATAAAACAGCCAAGCAACCAAAAAAAAAAAAGGTTTGGTTCGTCAAGTTGTGATTGAACCGGAAAGGGTAGACGGGGAAAATAGGGGGAAAATTATGAAACTGCACTCGCGGCGAGAGAAACATTAGATAAACATTGGCTGTATGATTCGTGCAGCCCAGCCTTATTCCTGGCGTAATACTGTACCTTTTAGCTTGAGATATTATCACGTTAACAGCTTCGTGTGATAGGATACGCGAAAACACCGGCTCGGGTTACCGTGGCCAGAAGGGTGCCTTCACTTCGCCTGATGATCCCCCAAGGCAAAGCTGGGTTTGTGCAGTGATGGAGAGAAAAAAAAAGAGACGGGAACGGAACGGACCGAGTAAACGAGCTCAGGACGAAGCCGGGGAGGACGAAGATGGAAAGAAAGTCATCTGACGTACGACGGATTCGAGAGGTCATCGCAAACTATCGGTCCAATTTACACGGAATAATAATTATTTTGACGAGGGGTGTGAATATGAAAGAAGCATGGAATTATCGTTGCGGGTTCTTATATCGCCTCGGGGCGTTCTGGATTCGAAAAACGACACACTGGTTTTTGATTTGTTGATGCGTCGAGTCCGAGGAGGCTAAGCGAGCGAGACAGGGATGCGTGCTGATGGGGAATCACTTGCGGGGACAATTTGGGCCGGTGTACGGTTCGGGGAAAGAGCGCCGTAGGTAATTACCCCTGACCGCTGCTTGAATTTTAAACGTTTCAGCCGTGTTTTAAAAAAAAATCAATAAGCTTGCTCCAAATTTAGCTCTGATGTGGGGAAAAAAAATGTTGCTTACACCCCTCACAGAACAAGCCCCATGTCAATCTTACTAAAGAAAAGGTTCAAGACGAAAATAGAAATCCACCCAACCGAAGTGTGGACATGTGCAAACTATAGTCGATGTCGCCCGTTCAATTGGGAAAACCACATATAATTTTTCCCAGGAAATAAAAATTAGCATTGTAAAATTCACGTACAATGAACCATCACTGAAATCAAACACTCCTCGTAAGTCTTTGTAGTTGTACGGTCTACGTATATCATATTAGTATTGCCACAATATCCATTACTGAAAATGCATCTGATTTGGGAAATAAATACAATTCTGAGATCTCCTTCAATTGTTCCCTCTTTTGGTAAAACTACAACATGTGCGTCGGTGCTATCACAGTATCGGGATGATAATTATACTCAAACAATACATACATTGTAATAAAAAACAACGATTTTTTAGTCGGGTATGTTGTTTACACTGTTGTAAAAATAGAAGCCACCGAAAGTCGAATAAAAAGAGTAACAGGTATACATAATTACACAGCATCTACGATAGTGTTTTCTATCCATTAGTTACTGAAATCATACACTGACTTTTGAAGACATGATGAAAGGCGAATTCCCTCTCTGGAAATAAATCCAAAATAATATCGCGAAAAGAAAGGGAGTGAAACGATGAACGTTGTGGGTTCTCGGTCATGATGTAGCGTTCAAGTTTCAAAAAATCAAATTTGATGGAACGATGACTATTTTGTCTTGAAAATTGAGATGAATTGATCATCCCGTATTAACGATATGGACTGATTGAGTAAAGTATTAAATCCATGAGATGATAACGAAGCACTGATTCAACAAATTATTCGTCCCATTCAGGTAAAACTGATGTCAATGCGTTGAGCAAAGGCAAATCGATATCAATCGACCGACCACCCCCATCAAAACAAAACTCAACCAGGACTCAACAAAACAGACGTAATTAGTTAATAGTTATATACTTAATAATTCAAAGCGAGTGTGAAAGCATAAGCCCGACAATTTGCACGCAGAGATCTGTCATTTCCATGCCAATGATTTTACCATCTTATTTTGGTGACTTTTAATTTAAAGCTACATTCCTTAATTACTCTGATCCGCACCAATTCTAAAAAATAAATATACATCCCGTATCTGTGACTATAAAAATAACAAGAGTGCACCTTAAAATTCGATTTTCTATTCTATATACAACACCATGTACACGTTGAAAATAACTATAATAAAAGACTGTTCCTGACCTAAAACCGATACGTATATGCAGACCAGTTTTCCAAACTGGTGACAGGAAAATTACTGACATCCAATGGAAATTTAAAATGATTTGTTTTGCATAAGCTCTTAAGAAATACATTAAAATTGTTAAGAGTCCAATGCCGGCCAATGACTGGCCAGTGAAAATGTCAAAATCGTATTTTTGGCAGTTTTTTAAACAAACTTTATAGATTTTCGAAAAAAAAGCGCACGATTTTGATGCAAGTTGATTCTATACGCTATAGCGTCGTGAATATTCATGGTAAAAGTATTAGCCTTGTCACGAGGCGTTTCAAATCGAAAGCCGTCCAACTATACGGTGATTGATGAGAACGTTATCAGAGAACAAGTGTTATCAGTTAAAGTTGAAAGGGTCGGGGTACATTACCAACGGCCGCAATATATTATTGCCTGTCGCTAAAAAATCGATCAAAGAAAATACTGCTCCACTGTACATTTTAAAACTTAAGGAACAAGAAATGACCGCGACCATTATAGGCATACGTTACGACTATTCTTAAACTGGTTTCTCAGGAAACAAAGTTTTCAAATCACCCTTTCCTACAAAATCCAAACAAAGATATCCATTTTTTTCAATGACACCGTAACATGTACGATTCTAACGCCAATGGGTCACTGGGCTATACTGCCGGATGTAAATTTTGAGCAGATAGTATTTGGTTCCGAGTTGGCAGCGACAAAGGGTGCATAACGTAACCTTCTACTCCTTATTACACAGGCCTAGGTAAATTTGTTTAACGACGAAATATTTCAATACTGATTAATTATATTATTAAAGTATTATACGGAATACATTATTAAAAGCAGCTAAACGTTAATAAATGTCTTTGTAACTTCACATTTACAGTGTATAAAAGAAGAGAGGCAAAAACTGTACATTTTGTAAGTGGTTTAAAAGATTCGGACATAAATACGAATGAAAAATATTAGTAACCCCGACATTATATCGCGATATACCTAGAAAATATCTAGGTCATACTAGATAATATCTAGACAAGTGCTAACTTTAACACAACATGATATCAAGATGATACCAAGATAATATCGCAATACAACGATAGATGTATCTAGATAATACCAATTCGATATCTTATAAATATTACATCCTTAGTTCACGGGATTGAAACTTCTATCTCAAAATAATACATGGGTAACAACTGAAGATGCATACAGCAGTGACTGTACACATCTAGTTGAAGTTCCTTGCTACTTCACTGATCAATCTACCCAGTCAGGTACGAACCGATATCATGCAACATACGTGTGCATTTAAAGGGATGGTGTAACAATGTTATCGCTTATGGTATATTGACAGTTCGGCGGATAAAATCCAATCCAAGCAATATCTGATGTCGGTAAAAAGTGTTAAATAACAAAACTAATATCGATTCCATGTAATGACCTCACAAGTTGTCCAATTTCCGATACGGTATGCGATCTTGCAGTCACTGTCTTGCAGTTAAAAAAATCTGGAGATCTCACAAATATTTAAGATGAATACATTCAATGATTAGAATATGCTATTTTTTTTACAAATAAAGTAAATTCCGAATGAACCTTTCAAATCAGCAGTTTTTAGTGGTGTTTAGCACCAGTCGAAGTGGCTAGACCAATTATACCATGCGAGGTTCAATCAGACAGCTAGCCAACTCAATGGCCGTGTGCACACCCCGTGAGGGCGCTGTGTTTGTTCAAACCGATTGATTCTCGATTTGCCATATTGCGGGTTTTTTGGTACTGTCTGATCTTCTTCGTGATAAACATTGCATACACTTCTATGATACAATCTCCAGTTTTGTTTACAACATTTAAAAAATTGTCAGGCACACAGCCGACCGTGGTCCTCTGGTTTAGTGTTAATTGACACTTATAAGCCGTGTCACAAGCCATTCTTCTTTATTAATGTAAGGAACGACGGAAGCTAATTTTCATCTTAAAATTCCCACAAGAATACCTACAAAATCGGAGCGCAGTGATTTGGCAAATTCGCGGAATTTAAAACATACCAACACTGACTGAACAAACTATTTTGAAGGATCCTCACTAAACCGGTCCAAAGTTTCCTTCTATGACATAAAAAAACAAGGAGTCTTGGAAAATATTTGCTGTGCAGCATGTCTCCAGAACAAAAATATTAAATTATCGCTGGTCTGACAATAAAACATGAATTGCTCTCAACACATTAAACTGGCAGTTACAATCAAAGCATCATGATTAATATGTGCATCGCTAATTAAATCAAAAATTGTATAAACAAATGTCATTTTCAATGACATTTTAAGAGGTATACTCTAACTGAAGTTAACATTTTCCTAGGATGACGTGCGAAATAAAGATCCCTATTCAGATCCTGTGTAAAGAAGCCTCTTGGTTTTCACTTGCATAATAAATAAGTTCAGAAAAAATAAGGGGCCTTTTAAGTTAATAAAGTGGTTCTTCAATCGCAGAACAACCACGCCAATTTTACCTTGAAGCCATGACTTCCTTATAGGTAATTATTCCATCGGTGAACAGTTAGTCATTTTGTGGGTGGTTCAGGGATTCACAATGACAAAATACCACAACAACATAAAAGCTACTTTTAATAATTGCACAATTTTCACACAAAAAACCACACCCTCCATGTTTAACTAGCATTTTGTAAATAACTGTATCATTGAAGCATTTCTAAAATTTTGGTAACATTATACATGAATTAGCCTTCAAAAACCCTCATCAAGTGATCCAGATGTAAAAACAGACTGTAGTAACCGATGACTAGGAAAAGATTAATTTGTGGGATAAAAAAAGCTAAATAAAAAGCAAAAAGGTAATGCTAAATTGCAAATCAATGACAAAATTGTTCCTTACTTAAAAATCTGATGTTAAAAATTACTTGGCTAGTCAGTAAAAATTTTGTCAAGGTCTACAACAATTGCTCACAACCCGTAACACATAAAATTACATGTACAAAGTAAACATTAAATACACTGTAACATTAAAAAACAAAAACAATGAGATAGTTTTACACTGATCATACATATTCATGACTCTTACATTCTCATTGGTCAATGCACCGCAATAATGTGTTGCCTCACAACACAAATAAGAACCAATTAACCAATGAGAACAAATTGTTGTTCATGAATATGCATGCGCCTGATGACACTTTTATGTTTATGCATGACCTTTTTTTGTACAGTGTGGTACTGTAAGAGGGCACTATCCTATCCTGAGCTCTGTCATAAAATAAACTGGCTATGCCAACACAATAGGAAAGCATCATCAAAGTCTGGCAATTTCAAGAAAATTATGGGCAACTTTTATGGTCAATCAACCATCAATTATGTTCTTAATAACTGTAACAAACTAAGAGTTACTTATACCACAGGGTTCCACACAAAGCAGTCTTGAGTTATTCATTCAATGCAAAAGAAGAAAAGACAAGGAGATTTCCATCTTGTGACCTGAGGAGGCCAACCGAGGTTGGTTTATCGTATTGCATCAGAAGAGACTGTCAAGGCTCAGGGGTGAAGAGAGAAGGGGGTAAACCCCGGGCCAAGGGTGGAGCCCTGTGCTATACGGATGTCTCCCTGTATATGAGGGGGTAGTACACCAATGCTCCTGATACTTTGTAGTATGGTGTCACTGTAGAGAAGAGAATGGGGTCGGGGTAGGGGAGAAGAAGACAGATATGCATGGGTAAATATGCTTTGTGAATATATGTCCCCTATATGCAAATATTGTACTCTATCAGAGGATATAATAGTAAACATTTCTGGGAAAGAATATCATACTGGGCCACCACTCTTATTCCTTGAGATGACCTGAAATGTACCAAAAGTTGTAAATCTGATGAGGATACACTATTTAAGGAGTGCAAACATTCTTTTATAATACTCTTTAACTTTTTCTGTCATGGCCCATAGACTTTGTGCAGGAGGTCTGAGTGGTGGCCCAGTATGGAACTCTTTCCCATTTTTGTTTTCGTGAACACGAAGGAATGGGGTGATCAAGTGAACTCGTCAAATGCCACCTCCACTACTGTTTGAAGGGAGTTCTTTGGGAGGGAATGGGGTTAAATTTAATTTGGATTAAGAAAACGTCATTTATAAGTTTGGACAACTACTGTGGAATCTTGGCTGACCTTCGACAGGCATGTGCAATTAAAAAAACCCAATTGAACATGTATTTCAGAAATTGTCCACTTATAACCGGTGTAACATAATCACCTACAAGACACGCACACAAAAATGCAACATTTTTCCTTCACATTTTCAAAAAGTCAACAACTTTTTTCTTCAATAACCATCCACCCATAAAGCTTGGGTGATCTGTCCCAAACAGGTCATAAACGTCACAGTTGTATAAATTCCATATAAATTCCAATCAAAATATTTTGGCTCCCGTCGGCTGGGCCATTAAAAGATCAAAATCCACAATCAAACAACTCTCAATCTGGATGTTTCCGCGGCAACCCGATCGACAATGAAGCGAATAATAACCCGCCAATGCACACACAAAAAGTCATTGCTTAATGATTACCATGTTGACACGTCGGCAGGTTATTATTATTTTTTCTTTTATTTCGGCTTTGTTCCACCGCCAGTCTAGCATTGACTTGATCAACCGGCTGCGCTTAGTCGACCTTTGACCTCGTTGTTAACCACTTATCTCCCACATTGATCAATGATAATACCTTCTGCTCCACAATTAACCTATAATTAAATTGACTGGCCTTCTGACTCCATACATACCACCCCCCTTAAACAGTACCCTCCAAAAGGTAGTGGTAGTTAGAGTATCAGCGTACCCGAACCAGATTGAGGGAAAGAAAGATCATTTTTGTCATATCATCCGGCTCTGACCCCCGATTAGAGAGGTGAGTAATTCAGTTCATTTGAAAACAGCTACATCAAAGCATTCGGGATAATCACAATTGTTTGCCAATCTTTATCTTTAAATGACAACTATGCAACATAACTGCTGATCTTGCCCAGTGCATTGACGCCATTTGGCGGCCCAAAAGTAAACAGTATCCCTGCCGACAATTAATTAAGCGTAGATGGTGTTGTTTGTTTAATGGAAAGGACCCAAGGCAATTTTTTTTTAAGTTACATTATCCTGCGATGTGCCGCAATGTTAAAAAAAAAAGCAACATATTATTTTATTGCTGAAAAAAAAAGCCTCAAACAGAAAAAGTCAAGATAAATAGAAATGCTTTGCATTTGAAAGCATGGGTACGCTTGTCCTTTTTTTTTCTATACAAAGTAAAGTCATGTTTGAGAAGTTCAAAAAAACATATTGGTTTGAAAAGTCTGAAAACAAGTTATCAGCAAAAGTAATAAATATATACATTTGGACTTTACGAGGTGAACTGTGCATTAACATTTAACAAAAGTGGCACGATTATGGATACACTTGTCGTGGTGAAGACTTACATGTGGGTGTGTCACGTGATCACAATACTCAGGGTTCTTGGGTGTCTTCATTCACTGTGCTTGGAAAGAAGAGAATGTCGTGTCCAATGGTGCATTTGAGTGTCCACAGACAGACAAACAGAGAGACTGACTGACTTTACAACAGACAAACATGTAACTAAAGGACAAGGTGATTCACACGGGTGGCAACACGCGTCGTTGTCATGGACATATCTTGTACATTTGTGGACAGGAAATTTGCCTCTTCGATTATGACGATAATGAGGTAAATTTCACAAGTTGTTTCAGAGTTCAATGACAACTGATGTTCTATGTTACTTTTGAGGAATGCACTCTTATATCGTTTGGTGACTATGACTTAAATTGGCTAACAGAAATGCAAATAAACATTTCCAAGTTAAGTAGTATTTTGCAGGAGAATTGGGGGGGGGGGGGGAGACTCTAAAGGAGACCCAAACACATTTAAATGTTGAAAACTACAAAGAAACACAAAACACAAATTGAAGAGGTCATGCATGTAAACAAATTGCATTACTTTATGTAACATATAAAATGCTTAAAACTAAGTACATTATAAAAAAATATCCAGCAATGCAATATGTAAATTTCGTACTATGATGTTTCCGTTGGAATAATACAATGGTTTAATGTTGTTAATCGTGTTCTGTTGTGTAAATGGAACTAAAACCAAGAAAGCTGCACTGTTGTTAATTTGGACATAAAAAAAAATATTTCAGAAATTAAAAGAAATTAATCAAATCACAAGGAAACAAATGTGAGTTCTTATTAGTTTTCCAAACATAGGGTATGACACAATGCATTTTATTTATAACAACCCTGAAACTAATTTATCAAACTTTAAGATGACATTCAAGTGTATGGTAAATTCAAAATGATTAGATCACAATGGTCCTGGAGATTGAATGATTCAGATAATCATGCCTTAAAAAGTTTAAAAAGAGCATAGGTGGTCCAGTTTAGGTTGGAAAAACATGTTTATGATTTTTAGTCAAAAAATCAGTTTGTTCTTTTTTCTTTCAATGGAACTTGCTGTCCACACACCACTGACGAAGGGACCAACAACCAAGACTGATGTTAAACTAAAAACTACGGATTATCAAGTAGTAAACAAGAGTCAGACTGAACACAGGTACGAAAGAAAAGAAAAGAACAAAAAGTAAAAAAGTGCACTTTGGTCATGCACTTGTTCAATCCACTTACGGCAAACAGAAAAACAGTGCAGCAAGAACAGGAAGACGTCAAAGAGGGGTAGGGGTGTGCTACTGTACCACACAACACTTACGAGCAGGGGAACGTTTATGGTTTACTGGCATACCTTGGGTCGGTGCGAGTCGGAAGCTTAAAAAAATTGGCTATGGGAGGAAAATCAAGAAAAAGAAAATCAGATTTGAAAGGATAAAGTCTGATCTTACAATTTCCATTGCCATCTTGGTTTGTTTGATAGCGACATGATGGAGATTCAGGCTGTTTTTTTTTGTAAGCACGAGTGAGGCACCAGGTTAATTCATGGCCTCCTCATTTTAAGCTAAACTTCTTAAGAGTCAGAACACCACTCTACACTACAACTTTAGGGTAATGGAGTACCGAACTGAATACCTCACGCGCACAAATTGTGTGTGAAAGACAGTAGCGCGTGCTTCAGCCCGTGAACCAACGTTTGCACTACACTTTCTGTTTCTAAATGATGTCACACTTCGGTACTCCATAGATGTTGAAGTCAGACCAAACTGTGGGGCTTATCGTCCGAGTATAACATGCTGTGCCTACCTTATGGTCGCCCATGCATACTTCTTGACCGATTACACTGTACATGGCCTTGTTATAGAGATCCTGAAAGAAGAAGACAAAGAAAAAATGGAAATTGATACCATTGCTCATTTTACTCTTCTGACAACTGGATAAACTGTCCTCAGTGTTCACTTATGGTTGTGGTAGAGCGCCGTGGTCCAATGGTTATGGTGTTTGACTCATGTGCCATGGTATGCGGGTTCGAACCTTTCAGGGAACATGGTGCTTGTGTTCTTAGGCAAGACACTATACTATAATTGCCTCTCTCCACCCAGGAGTACAAATGGGTACCTGTGAAGGTAGAGACCAGATTGTGCTGATCTTAAGTTGCAAGGAACCTCCACATCAAAAAAACTGTAAGCCATTCAAGTTATTAGTTTTGTATTTGATGCAACTGAACTTGACTCTTGTTTTTTTCTTCAAAGTCCTGGATTCAGCTTAAGCTTCATCTAGTCATTTAGATGACTTAAGCGCCCGAACCAATTAGAAATATTACAGAATTTGATGTTCCTTGAGAAAAATGGAGTCCCCATGTCAGGGATGTAAAATTTCCTGATGCCGGAGACAAAGCCAAACTTTAGAAAACCCTGCAGAGTTCTCATCAGCAAAAACAGGTAAGAAGATGGATGTCAAATGTACCTCCTTGACGAGGGCCTTCGCCGCCTTGGAGAGCAGGATGCGATCGCACCATGCGGGGACTCTTGTCTTCATGTAACTCCGCCCGTCTGTTACGTCCTCACTGTATGGGTAACTATACAGAGATATAAATGAGAAATAGCCAAAGTTATCTCTGACGACTCGGTTATCTCTGTGTACTGAATTTACTGCCCCTGGTAGACAGCTGGCGCATTTCTGAATCGTTCTGTTTTGTATCGATATGTAACATATTGTAGAAAAAAGCAGAAGTATGCAATAATGAGTAATATTGATATGATAGGGCTATATACCAGTGAAATGTTACAATACAACCATGCTGTGGATACTGTCTTAATTTCAACCATAACGATGAAACTTTTGGGAAAATATGTTCCGGACTGTGACTTGGAAAAAGCGGTACATGAAACGATCAAAATGGTCTTCCATATTAACAACCACGACAAGAATATAGGATTCACCCGAAAATATATTTTGTTTTTCAAAGTTTCATTAAAAAAGGCTGAGCAAGACAAATTTAGTAAAGGCCACCAATGAAATGAATATTAGCAAGTTTTAACTTTCGCAAATTTGCTTTTACACTCGATCAAATCTGGTTAAAGACATGATTTTACAGAACTCGGCAATGTCCAACCTTGGCGGGAAATCTCTGTCGTACTCGTAGAGCTGGTTGGTGAAACACTTCATCTCCTTGTCAAATGGAAGAAGCTGTCCAATGAAAAACAAAAAAAGTGAAAATCTTCATCATACAGGGAAAAAGGTAGACACATTTCAGGATAAAGGTGAAATTACATGAAAAAAACATTAATGCTGGAACAAAGTACCTGAAACTCACTTTCAATGGCCACTTCCAAGAACTTCCAATTTTTTTTTAAATGGAAATTTATCGGATCTTCAACATAATTCTTTTCAAAAGTTATGTAATTTTTAAAATTGTATTTTTATGACCATCACCATCAAACTCACCCACTTGGCGTTTTCTCCAATTAACCTGTCTGGGTCATCAATCTCGAATCTCTTCTTCTCAAGGATAAGTATTACCTGGGGAAAGAAACAATTCTCATGAAATAAAACACGATTGAGTCACAAACATCCTGCAACTTTTAAACAGTGTCCCATGGAAACAAATGCCATCGGTACTGCATCAGAATAGTTCCAGACTTTTAGTGAACACTGGGGTGGGTTTCAACCGAAAACCGAATTAGTGCTCAATCAACTGAGATACAAATAGCTTGCAGTGTCCCAACATAGACTATTTGACAACTTCACACTCAAAACAAATATATCAATAAAGACACACTGAAGGTTTTATCAGAAGCTAATGATGAAGTCACTAAATCTAAAAGAGTTCTTCTAGTTGAAATTATGACCAGAATATATCTCCTTTTGATCATTGAAAAACAAAATTAATAGAAAGGAATGAGAAAAACACCAACCTTACTGCTGCCGTCACAGTCCTTGTACGTTATTCTCGTCACCTCCTTGTCTTCCTTTGTGTACTCTGGTGTTGCCTCGGCAACCAAAGTCTAAAAAGAGACAAAAAGAGTCTATAATGAGGGTGCATCTTAACTCCACGGCAAAGCACTAAACAAATGTAATACAGAGAATTTCACATGGAAGCTATATTTTGGAACAGGCAAATTTCAATTTTGACAATTTCTGTTTTCATGATGGAAACGCTTTTTGAAGTTTGTTGGCACAGAATTTGCACATCATTTCTGTAAATATGTTTATTACAAATATTGTCTACAGCCTTGCAAGTAAGGACAACATGAAAATAACGCTTTGACAGTCGTTACTATTTGGCATAATAGAATCATACTTTAACAGAGGTGATTTTCAGTGTACCCCATAGGTAAGGAAAGGTCATTCACATTTTCTACAGAGACCTGATGTTGGAGACTTTGGAATCATTTTGCAAATTAGGGTTGTGTTCTTATACATGTCATGCAGTCAATATGAACACAAACTTATAAAAAAAAATTAACCTGAATGATTATGACTTTTAGCTGTGTGTTTATGAGGCTGCCTAGTTTAAAACATACACCATTTTGACAAAGATCGATTCATATCAAGTAGTCACAAGTCAATCAAATAATCAGAAGTCACAAGTCGAATCATGGCAAGTTAATCATTTCTCATCTAGTCTCGTCAAGTATCAAGCAATCCAGTCGAACTGTGACAATCGCATTCCTTTGTCACTATTATCCACCTTCTACATGTACTTGTAGCCTGATTGTAACTGGCTTGTGATTGACTAAGGATTGACTAGGTACAACTCTGAATAAACTTGAAACGTCCCAATGGCCTCCAGATTGAATGAAAAATGTGACCGGCTCCACAAAAAAGGGTATTAAGTCGTGCTGGGCATTATTGTGTAATGGCCCGCTCAACATTGAGAGGGTGAAAATGTTGTCAAAATGTAATTTTCAATTTTAGTAATGAATAACACCTTTAAGTACCTACAGTTCCAGGTTTCATTCACAGAAATGTTGATTTTGATGAACAAAGTGGAAAAAGAAAACAATTTTGTGCGCATCGTTTTGTTGTTCTACAACAAAGCCAGCTATTTCACAGCCTGTTTTCTCAGTTGTTTTATTTGAACTCCAAGGAAGTAATTAATAGGCAAATTACATCATATCTCCAGAACAGGAGGGACAATGGAGATCATTTATATACCAAATGAAAGCTTACATTGTGGGCTTTCCAACCATGTATAAAACTTAGTATCACTTTTTTGCGACAAAATGCCTTTTTTTGTGACAAAATACCCTTTTTTGTGGAGCCGGTCACAAATGTGAAGAACAAGTCTATTCATGTTTCCCTTCCCTTCAAATATCAGAGTTTTGAAAACCGGCTGATCTCTATAAAGCTTTCCGGCTCCTGATTTTATTAGAATGGGTTTACATTTGCAAATAATTGTGTTACCATGACTTGTTTGCGCAAACACAACTTGAGAGCCCATCCCTTAATCATTAAACCGTCATCAAGTGATCTACCAAAAGACAACTTTGTCTGCGGGATCTATCGGGGTCATCTCAGGGTTACCCCCACGGTGTAGCGAGTCAATAGAGCCGGTCTTTGATTGCTCTATTAATGATAACTCAACGATCGGTAATTACACAGTTTTGATTGAACTATTGGTGATCGATGTCCGCGATAAAGCAGTAATGGTTCCGAGTCAGTCTGTTCCAAGTCAGTTTAATGACGTTTTTATGTTAAAACACTGCAATAAATCTATTTATAGGAAAGTAAGCTTTATACATACATGTATCTTGGTTTCTGTACAATGGCAGACATGTACATGACTTTGAGGGTGGAAAGGTACTTTTGTTGGCTTTCTGGAATCCTTCCCAAAGGTGGGTATACTTTTAATTTACCAAGAAGAATAATATTCAATAGGAACACTCAAAAACTTTTTTTCACTTATTTCATCTTATTTCACTAATCACTATATTATTGATACTCAAAACCTGGAAAAGACTTTTTTTTTATTTTGAAAGAATGCCAGACTTTTTAAAAATAACTTCAGGGTCGAAGGTCAACAGTTCCTAGCCTGGCAACCAACAGCAGCAGTTCGGAAACCAACCAACAGCAGCAAAAGTCAAGAGGTTAGGCTACCGAGTCTGTGCATGCTACCGAAAACATTTGCATCAGTTGCAGCCGACACCTGTCCTCTGGGACACTAACAAGAGTTCTGGGTCGTCGTTTCGACGGTTGCCGGGTAGATTTGTGGGGGAAGGGAGAGGGTGGGAGCTGGCCGCCACGAGTCTTATCGATGAGATAAGGACAACATTTGAGTGATGTCCAATCAATCAATGTGAGAATCATGTTTCCAAAAACATGAGTTTAATGGCGTGCGACAAGATTTTTTTGACATGAAGCATAGACTGTTTATTGCTCTTCTCGAAGTTAAACCTCGATCAAACCCCCAAGAAATTCAAAATTTCTCTGGTCTGACCAGTCACTTGAGACTTGACCGAAGTGACTTGGACTTTACCACAGCAACTTGATCATAGTTAGTAGTTTAAAATTTGAACCAAACCAAACTTGACATCTAAAGCCTGTTTCATACTTCATGCGAAAGCAAGTGCAAAGCGAAATTCATGTCGTCAACAATGGTGGACGCACTTCGAATGCATTGTTGACGTCGCAAATTTCGCTTCACTTTCGCGTGAAGTATGAACCGGGCTTAACACAAATTACTAAAATGGGGCCTTTAAACAGTGACTTTCTAACAATGTGGATGACATAACATTTTGCTAACTTGAGTTCCGGATATGCCTGGAAAGAAATTCAATCCCTTTTTCAAAAAAAACCTGAAGAATTATACCTGAATCACACCCTGCGAGTCCAATCTGAAGTTGAAATCACCGAAGAGGAACAGAGGGACATTGTCATGTTTGTCCTTGGAGAATCTAATGAAAAGAAACAAAGAGATCTCATAAGACATGAGTGGCAGGGTTTCAAGGAGAGGCGGGTTTGGATGGGATGAAGAGCATTGTCTTTAGGATGGTCTGAGTTTGGGTTGGTTGGGTTCAGTTAAGTTTGGAAAAGTAGGTTGAGGTTTTGATAAGTTAAGCAAGTTGGAGCTGGGATTGGTTGGGTTAAGAAAAGGCTATGACTGTATTCCAATAACATATACGTAATTTGAGGGGAGACTTTTGAGGCCTTTGGTGGCAGCAAACTCACCAGTCCTTTTCCATTGTTTACGTCATTTTGAACATGCGCACATTAGCTTCAATATGACGTAAACAATTGAAAAGGACCGATGTGGTTTCTGCAAACAAGGGCCATTGAATTTGGGAATTCAGGCTGGACCTGGCAGGATCTAGACAAGTACAGGAGAACAACAGATCCTTTCAGTCCTCGGGAGTTGGGTATTTTGTTCAAAACTGTCCTCTGTAGTAGGTTTGTGTGCTTAGTCAACGAGAGAGTGTTATATTACAGGGACAAAGGGAAACACAAAGCATTGTCCTCGGGAGTATAGTAAAACAAGTGTGTATGTTATTGGACAGGTGTTGCTTGACCGAGTGGGTTGGGACCTAATAATTCCTTTCATTCAAGATCCAGCAAATAAAAGCCCAAAAAGTCCAATAAAAAGTCCTAAAAGAATTCACTGCTTTCATTAACAAGAAGATAATTTCAGACTTGTAAAAGGAGTAGAATTTAAGTACAGTTACCTTTGTAACACATGCTCCAGTGCTCTTTTTCTGTATTTACAGTACGGCGAGGGAAACTGGGGATGAAAATTCAGAAGCAGATTATTGAGAAGCAAGGGAACAATGAACGATGGGCAGGGGTACTGACTAGTCTACCGAATGATTTACATTTTACTTTGTCTACTTTGAGACGTTCTGGCAAATGAGACGGAACTGGGCACAGGCCGTATTGGAGAAAAATGCACTAAAAAACGGGGATGATTTTATTTGATTTTCAGATATATAATATGTAACTCGTGAAATGATTACTACACATAGTTTAAAAGGCGTAGTATAAAATCGTGGAATAAAAGAGTTTTTAACAATTGGTATCTTTCATTTTCATGAATACAAAACTTGAACCTTTAACCCTAACCCCCTAGAGTGATTTACTGTGAACACCTCACACATTTTAGAGAGAGTGAACCTTAATATCCAACAAACATTGAAAGCACTGATACAGTCAGGACTGTATACTTTTGTCCCAGCCATTTGTTTGTATTTTTTCTCCATAGTTAGGGGTAAGTGGGTGTATAACACTTACCGTTTCCATTGCGACCATGTTGCTGGCGTCGTGGAACAGGTGAATATTGGCAAGATCAAATATCCTGCAGAAGCAAAAATGGAAAAAAAATCAATCAACAAAGACTGAAATGAAAAAAGAAATGTAAAAAATCTTGAATATTTCATAATACGAACCTGAGGATGCTGTACTTTTTAGGGAAAACAACAAGACATTTTCTGACATTCTTTTCATGCTCACCTGTTTTCTACGTTCCATCTTGTTCTCAGGAAACCTTTTCTTGACCACACCGTCTGTAAGAAGCACAAGGAGGCCGATAAAATTACATCACCGACAGCATACTTTCAAGGTGTTGTATTTTAATATCCTCAGAAAGGACAAAATGATAACAGTAAAACAAAAATTGCTGTTACTTACTCCTGGGAAGAAGTTCTGAGGGAACTTTGCCTTCTCATATATCGTCTTTTTGTTTATCAAATTTACAAATTGCTTGCCCTGAATTGTGTTGAACCTGCATGCTGTGTGGAAAGGAAAAAGAAAGACAAACGGATCTGATATAAAAAAAAGGAAAACTTTTATTATTTTGTATTATTTCTCTTGTTAACATTTCTTTTACCATTTAGTTTGATTATATGAGGATTTTCAAAAGTACAATTGGCCCCTCTCCCCAATAAAGGAACCAAGTTTTCACGTACACTGTAGAAAAAAATCCCAACATGACAAAACTGAATTACCGTACAAATAGGCAAAAAGTATTTCTCTCAAGTAATTGTCGTTACTAGAAAACATTTGGACATTGGAAACAGGATTTAAGGCATACAAATCTGGGTAAACATAGTGAACGGGTAAGGTTTTGTCTGGGGCTGGTGTGTAGTATTGTAACTGTGGCTATTTTTAATTTTTTTAGGAGGGGGGGGGTGGGAGATTACTATTTTTGGGTCAGTTTAAAATTGAAAATCCACCTCCAACTTACTTTTGAAGTCATAAAGCTGTACATTCTGCAGAGATTCGTGAACGAAGTACAAATTACCAAGTGCCTGAACATTGAAAGGAGAAATGGAAAAAAAAAAACTCATGAGCAAAACTATCAAAGCCAGGGTTCGACTTTAGCGGTAGCCTGCTAGTGCTAGCCAAATGCTAGTCAAAACAGTTGCTAGTCAAACTACATGTATTCCTTAAGTAGCCCAGCTGGCGAGTCAAACATTATTGGGATACGGCAAAGATGAAAGGACAGGAAGAAATATATTATTTAATTCAGAAAGCAAACCTGTATCAATTTGTGTGTAATTTTATTAACAGTTTAGGGTAAAATTATTAGCTCCGTTTATTAAAAACGCTGACAAGATTGCCTCAGGATACACATTTTACATGTATGCACATTATTGCTTATGAGACACTCTATAAAAGAAAAAAATGTGTCCAGTGAAAAAAAAAGTTAATATTTGCATATCCTTTAACGCCCAAACTACCCTGCCGTTTACTCCTTATATTGCTTCAAACCTTTGGTTTCAGATTCATCAAAGATTAATTCAATGTAGTTCAGTGTAATACGAGTGCTAATGGATCAAATCAGCCAAAACAGTAACTTAAGTAGGCACAAAGTGCCCTAAAATGACCATGAGAAAATAAGATTTGCAAAGATACTTTTAATATTCAGATTGTACAAGAAAATGGACTATGGCTACGCTTGGATCAAATTCATGTGTCTTGACATTTCTTTTGCTGAAATGTTAATTTATGAGTGTGCAATTGTGCACCCCGAAGTTAACATTTCATTTTATATAACTGACTATTTTGTGAGGTAAATTTACATTAACTCCTAGTTATTTAATCATATAAATGATTAAAAGACTTCTGTGCACATTGTAAAATAACACTGAAGCAAAAGTTAAGTGTTACGTTTTTTATGAAGAAAAAACTCAACATCCATCTCTCCTTCTGCTACCAAACTGACAGTGACAAATCAGCAATGGAAACAGCTTTCAGGCTTCAGCCTGTCACGCCGGTAGAAAATAAATTATGATAAAAAAGCCCAATCCATCCAACAAAACGATTGCTTGGACCCAAGTTCTCTCTGTTTGCATCCAACCTTATCAAAGCCAAATCGATTAGCAACTTAAGGTCAATCAATTGTTGCCCTATCAGCCTCTTCCCGGCTCTTTAGACTAAAAAAGGGAAGAAGAAAGAAACAAATTGACAACAACAGAAAAGATACGGGGACTGAGTCAACAATTAATGACATATTTCACACCTCTGAGTCAACACGTATTCAGGCTCAAAAAAGCCAATGAACGACCCATTAAACCCAACGCCGCGATCAATCAGATAATGCACATTTATTTTCCCCCCGCGCCGCAAACACACAACAAAATAATAATCAATGTGAGCTGATAACATTAACCCAATCAAAAAAAAAATGAAGAATAAAAGAAAAACAGTTTCAACCTCCCCCATTTTTCTTAGCGGGTTTCATAAATAAGTCAACAATTAATGACATGTTTGACACCCACCCTTGTCATACTGTACAAAGTCTGAGAGGGTCGGTAATTACCGTTTAAACACTAGGGTATGATGGGGCAGATTAGGGCGGGACAAAGGCTTGTTCGTCGTTAGCACGTAACCCGCCAGCCCCTCCGCATAGCAAACGAGCTCCGATCAAGTCCCCGGTGTGTGCACAGGTGTCCCTTTTATCATTAACACCTTTCTGATTGCACACAGAGCTCTCCGCACTTAGGACAATATTTATTTATAATAGAGCAGAGCTTCAACTCTTTGCACTTTTGTCAATTGGCAATTTAGGGTAAAAATATCATTTTGAACAATTTGATGGAAATCGATTTAATTTTTTTTTTTTTACCATTTTATTTTGACAAACTATTATTAAAAATGTTCAGGGATGGTTTGAGGAGACAACCAAATCTTAATGTCTTGTTTACATCTCACAGTTGGCAATTTGGAGTAAAAAAAAGTATAATTTGTATGATCTGATACAACTCTGGTTAATTGTTTGGCATTCTATTTTGACAAATTATTGATGACAACACTAGAGATTAGTTGAGGAAATGATCCGGAAACCAAATGCTGCTTTTGCACTCCCCAGCTTGAGTGCTCCATGTGCCACAAAGCAAACTTCAATCTTACTTGAAGTATGGACCAGCTTTGACTTTTTCATGCCTTAAGTACAGTTTCTATAACCAAGGACAAGAGTTTTAATGACTTCGACCAGACTTGTTGTTGCCGACAATTAGGCTTTGAACAAAGTATAAACTCTGGGTGCCCTGTGAATCCCGAGTGAATCTGTGTAATGTTGAATTTGATTCTCTTTGGAATTACATCTCTATGGAATTACACTTCTTGAATTTCAATATATGATTATATGAAAAATAAAGTTTGGATCCCACTTAAACTCATTTCAATAAAAAAAAATTGAAGTTAAGGCCAAAAAAAAAAATATGTCGGTCTCTGGTCAGCGCGCGCGTCGATTTTAATCATGCGCGTCGATCTTTTTTTTTTTCCAAAATGTTCCGCGGTAGCTCCAACAGCGCCCTCTATTTCCGCACCTCCTCAATTTCTTTTTAATACCAAAGAGCACCAAGGAATGGGAAATTGCACCAAGGCAAATGATCGAAAGCACCAAGGCAAATTATGGAGGACACCAATGTACATGAGGACACCAAAAAAGCAAAATAGTACCCCACCTTGTCTGTACAATCCAAGCTTCAAGAAAAAAAAAAAGCAAAAAAAAAAAAAAAAGAAGCCGCGTGGCCGCATCAATTCCGGAACTTTGGGTCTGACCAGAGTCCGAGTATTTTTTTGGGGGGCCTAACACTTCCATTGTGGGCATTTAGGTTCAAAAGGTGAAGTACAACTGTTCAAAGCCGCTGATGTAACTGTGACATACATGTACGCTTCTCACGGAAACACCTCCAGCTGATGCACCTCTACAGCGCCCTCGCATGACAAAGCACAATAGTCCAAACATGGCGTTTCACATGTATATATAAAGCCTCCAGGTCAGGGGGTTATCTGGCATTGCCAAAGCCGGCAGCTAAATGATTACAAAGCAAAGAAAATACAGAGATGGACGATAGAGATAGCGCCATTTAAGTTGTCACCACAAAATGACTAAGTGGTAGGGAATTGTGGCATCTTATCGGGAACTAAACTTTGTTCTTTGCAACAACTGCCAATAGTTGAAATGCTTTTTTTCCCTGTTTACGTACACACTTCATAACTTTTTAGGGGTGTGAAGTATAGGATTGGAAATTCGCTCGTCAAGAGGTTCCACTAATTGAGCAAATTGCTGTTATCTTGAACCATTCAGAGTTCGCCGATAGGCTAATTGTTCACGGTCCCTGCTCTTGGAGAGGGTATCCGTGACTACTCAAAAGCTGCCAATTGGGGGCGCTAGAGTGACTAAACAGTTTCTAGAACTGCAATTGAACGGACAGGAACTGGATGAGTAGAAATATGAACAGATGCAATGAGATTGAGATTTGGAAAATTTGCGTGAAGATGCTCATTTTACTAGTCAAATACATGCATAGGATTATTGTATGGGCTCTACGTAAAAAAGAAATCTATTCCCAGCCCTCCCCAATAAAGTTAACCACTCTGCAAAACTCAAAATTCACCAAATGTCAGAGTTCTACGCTTGAATCCAGTAAAGTGTATTATATTTTATCGGATATGTGCAGCGGACATTACATTTTCTACGAAGTTGATAATGAATCAGCGATTTTACATTTGTGTACACGGCACGTGTAAATGTACACGTACATGTACATGTAACGTGTACACATGTTCACCTGGTAATTCAGTATTCATTACTTCCACGCCAAAAAAAAACTTTACATGTTTGTTTTCCCTCTTTTTTCAAACACTGCTTTACAAGCAATTAACCTTATATGAGCCAAAAATCTATGGGAAAAAACAATTCTGGGTCTGCTGATAAAAAAATGAAGACAGGTGAATGCTTTGTCAAAAGCCACTCTAAGTGGGATAAGGGAGTAAAGAACTTTGTCAATACTTCATGTTATCCAGTAATTGTAAATACTGCCCTCTGTTGTCCAGATAATGCCAATGTAGAAAATCTGGATACCTGAGTTTTCAAAACAGAAAACCTTATTTTAGCTTACATTTTGGCCTCCCCAAAGACACCATGCATTTCACAAAATGTGACATACCGGGGTGACGCCATTTTGCTCCCTTATAGAATCCTGCTCTTTCCTGGTTGCTCAAAAGCAATTTTTTTTACAGCTGCTAGAATACAATAAGGCGAAAAAAATGAAGTTTGAACACAGCTGTTGTACTGTTTTTATTCTAATCTTTAAAGTTTCATCGTTTTGGAAATAAACTATCGTACATTTAGGGGCCAAATGAGTATAAAAACCCAAGTGAGGTTAAAGGTATCGTGTAAGACAAGTCCCATGGCAACTCAAGTATTGGGCAGTTTCTGAGTACTTGATTTCTTGTAAATGTTTGTGGCTGTTATAAATTCATCAATATTGCCAGAAGAGCTGATTTAATCAAGTCAATCCCTAATTTCTTTTAAACGTTATTTTCTGTGATTCTCAAAGAACATTTCCTGGAAGACTAGACTGGATAATAATACACAGATAACAGAATATATAAGAAAATGGTTTAGCAACAACATTAAACTGTGCTACATGTACATCACAAAACAACTGTCAAATTTCAGAGAGTAAAATACTGGCAATCCAATACATCTACAATGTACCTCTTTTTCCTGTTATTTTTGGAAGGAAAAGTTCCAGACCTTCCGTTATTCTATTACTTCCCAAAGGAAGCATTGTAAAATTATGTGCAAGTCCGCTGCCAAGATACAGAGTAAGTTTTCATAATTTTGGAGGGTTGTGTTTGAATTGAATATCTAATGCAAATGTTTTCAAACTCTTAAAGACTGACTTAGCAAAAACCATCGCTATTATTGTACATATTATTATGAAAAAAAGGACTATTTGAAAACTCATCTTTTTAAACAGTATAATAACTTAACTCTTAATTGTTTTTTTTT